CCCCCAATTCAGTTTATCCTATTTCCTCCTCTTTCGATTTATCTTTTACTGACCCTTTGCCTCAGGCCATTGTTTTACAACCATTTTCTGTCTCAAGCTCTTTAGCTGTAAATCCTCTGGGGCCAAAGTTCCTACCAAGAAAATTAAAATCTAGATATTTAAATTTTTTGAATTTTTTTTTACACAAATAGAGCACATCTTTTCATTTCTCTGGTTGTACATGATGCAGAGTCACTCCATGTATCAAATCATACCATACAAAGGGTAGTAATGCCTTTCTCATTCCACCATCTCACCCCTACACACCCTCCCCTCAACCTGCTCTCCTCTGCTAAATCCAAAATTTCTCCTCCTTTCCTTGAGTCTCCCCCAGAATATTATGAACCTGATCCACTTATCAGAGAATATATTTGGAACTTATTTTGTTCTATGATAGTCTCCAACTCTGTCCATTTACCTGCCAATGCTATAATTTCTTTCTTCTTTAAGGCTCAGTAATATTTTACTCTGCATATGTACCAGTTTGTTTATACATTCAACTGTTGAAGGGCATCTAGGTTGTTTCCATGAATTACCTACTGTGAATTCAGCTGCTATGATCACTGATGTCACTGCATTACTATGGTGTGCTGATTTTAAGTCTTTTGCATGTACACCTAGGATTGGGAAAACTGGGTCAAATGATGGTTCCCTCAAATTTTTCTAAGGAATCTCCAATCTGCTTTCCAAAGTGGTCACACCATTTTTTTAGTGGCAAAAATCTGAATATTCTTTTACAGACACATTCAGTTTCTGTCATAACTGAACAATAGTTCCCAAATAATCAGGCAATTTTTCACTCTTTTTCTTTTTGTACTGCCATTTAATATGTGTACATGTCTTTAGGTACTCTGCTAATTTCTTCCTCTGTCAACTGCTAGAAGTGGCTGAAGATCCTGCAGAATTTGGACAGGCTGCACAAGAGCTTCTTGTCCTTCACCAACTGCATCAGGTTGTCTTGGATTACCACTTCCCCTGACCATATTCCAGACTCCACAGATCACTTCACCCAATGCCATGACACCAGCACCAGACATCAGGAATGGGCAGGGGCAA